GCACCTAATCCCCTATGGCGGGGCCCTCCTGCCTGTCACTCAAAGCGGCCATGTCCTTATTAATGTATAACTTTTAGTCTCAATATAATTTCAGCGGGAGAGTTATAAAAAATTCACCCCCATACATTTGTCATGGAAATTAGCTACGTGTAGAGACCAAACCTGTCATTTGTACCAGGCTGTAAACACATCTACTTCTGCTGTAAAGTTGGTAATTTTAACATGGGAGTCTCAGCCTCAGAGGTTGTCGCTTGGGTGTAGCCTGCATCTTGGCCATTGTCCATTAGGATTGACTCCCCCCACCCCATCCCCATGTTACCATTTGCCCAACTGGCTCCAGTGATGAGGACAGGGCCTGTGACCGTACTGCTGGGAAAGAAGCAAGGGAATCAGGAGAAAGCAAGACTCACAGAGGGCTCAAGAGACAAAATCAAGAAAGATGGAACAACTGGGGATTCCTTGTTTTAGTAAATACACTTATTTGCTTTTTGCCAAGAATTTAATGAGATGATTGATACCAGTCTCATGTACTGTAGGTTGTAGTTCTCTCTAATATTGAGTTTCAGTACTTTCTGAAGGGTTACTTGGTCATTTGACATTACTGAATGAAATTTACAAACACCATGTGGTGATGCCCCATTGCTGATACTGTTTTGGAAACACTATGCATGATTACAGAGAAAACTCACACCATAGGTGGTAATGATAATGCATTACTTTTGCAGTTTCAGTTCTCTGAAAAACATGTACAGGAGGTGGTGATTCATACGATTTAGATTCCTCCACTGGCGGAAGTTACGGTAATGTCACAAAACTCCACGTCTGTCTGGCAAAACTCTCATCGGTTACTGAAATTTTAGTTTACGTAAAAACAAACAGAAGTGGCTTCTCATTATAATGACAGCTCACCATGTCTGCCATTCTCTAACTTCTAAATTTCTTGAAATCAGAGCGGTGGCCCAATTCTACTATGTACTAATTTTACATTACTGATTTAAGTAAACTCATACATGCCAGTATGCTCTGTCAGTAAATCCTAGACATCACTGCTCCATAACTGATTACACAGCAGAAGCCGAAGAGCTTATTCAAGCTCTGTCGTCTCTGCCTAGAGTGAATTTATACCTTCGTGAACTTAAATGTGCAATTCAAATGAGAGTAGCATTATACAAATAATTTCAAGCTGTAGCTTTTGTTTTGTTTATACACTTCATGATAAATGGTGAAAAAATAAAATGTTGTAATTATGGTAAATATAAAATACAGAAAACCACTGCTTTGAACAGAAGATGAAGAGAGGGTGGGGAGAATAAACACTAACTACATCCCAGGGGAATATGAAAGTCTGGCATATATATTAGGCTCTGCTGTTTCCACCAAAAAAGGGGGTTAACAGAGTGGGAGAATAGTACAGAAGACTACTCCAGCACAGACATCCTAGTGATGGCATGGCGACAAGCTAAACAAACATTCTCAACAGAGGGACAGAAAGAACAGGAAGGAGGAGAGGGGAGAGGGGGAGGAGGGAGCTAAGGACAGCAGGGTTGAAAGATTGCTTGAGAGTTTAGGAAGAAACTGGGAGAAGGCTGTGACAAGGTGAACAACAACAAAATAGCTTTAAAGCAGTTGTGAGCCACTCTCTCCCCTGGAGGAAAGAACACTGAATCTTAGAAAGACAGAAACTTGTGGTTATCAGTGTTAATTAGGATGAACAGGATCAATACGCCGGTTATCAGTAGTTAGACAGGATCAGTCAGGACCACATAGCTACACTCAGATGGTCCAGTAGCACTTCAAACA